ACCTCTTGAAAGAGCCCTGGGAACTGCCTCAGCTTGGAGTAAGTCTGGAATACAGCACTGATGAGCATCTCTTGCGGCTTCTTCGTACGTGGTTCAGAGGCCTGAGCATCAATCCAAGCTGACGACACCAAGTCATCCAGGTCTGGCTCTACTATAAGGTGGTTTAATGACAACAAGAGCTTGAGACACCTGAACCAAGCAGGAATGGAAGCTTGGGAGTGTGTCAGCAGCATCTGTGCTAGCTTCCGGTAAAACCCAAACTGCACCTCCTTGTGCCGGATACGGTCACTGGCGATATTATAGATATCATTGCTGAGGACCATGTTCAGAAGCTGTTCCAAAGCAAGCAGCTCTGTGCTCCAGTCAACAGGGGAGAGCATATCCTTCCTTCCCCCTTGTTGTAGGTCAGAGAGCCTGAGACAGTCAAAAAGCCTGCTGAGCATGTGGAAACACACAAGGTGGTTTTCTACCTTGCAGTATGAGTCCAGAAAGAGCTTATATAGAAGGGACACTGAACCAGCCACAACTGCTACATGGAGAGCAGGTTCACACAAGTCACTGCCCAGCTTGGTCTGCACTGTGTTGACTGGTAGCAAAAGAGTTTTCAAAGCTCGTTTCTTCTTCTCCTGGCGTTCCTGTTCTGGCAGCAGCTCTTCCTTGTAGAATGAGAAAAGCTCAGGCTGAAATAAGCTAGCCTGCAGCAAAGTTTCTATTTGGTTTCGTATTTCCCTGCTCAGGTGCTGACGCAYATGGCTATCATCTGCTTGTGTCCAGCTCCTCACAGCCAGCAAGTGCCTCAGGAGCAAACATGGCTGGAGCAAGTGACTTGTCACTTGCCCAAACACACGGTTTGGGTTGGTTTGCTGCCTCTGGATCAGAAGGTACTGAGCAAAGGTAAGCTGGAGGACACTGAACAAYTGGGAGCCCACTGCATCGTCAGAAGCCAGCTGCTGACATGCGAGCTTGGACAGCTTGCTGAGGAGATCAACCAAAAGCTCACACTTTGTTGTGTAAATGATGGACAGTGAAGGAGTAGAAAGGATGCCACTGGAGCAGCTCAGCACCGTGCCAATATTCTGCTGTGTTTTTTCGGAACAGGCCTCTGATAACCTTTTGTTTATGACCTGAAGAYGGGGAAAACAGAAACAAAAACAAACCCCAAAACACAGTCAATTTGGCATATTTTAAAGATAAAACTCATCATAATGAACCAACAACACCTTCTGTGAGCTCTGGCTGTAAGYAAGGGGGATGCACCAAAGCTGCTGCTGGGCCTCTCACATCATACGTCTCAAACTAGAAGCTCCACTGTCCTTGCATTTGTTTGCAGCACCAGATGAGCAAGGAAGCCCTCATGTGTACTACTGGCAACAGTATAAGACTATCCATAGTTGATCTTAATAGTTCATCCTGCAGAAAGGGACTAAGAGTAAATTTCTTCCCTTCTTGAATGGTTCCCAAAATCATGCTCCAAACAGCAACAAACCTACACACAACACACATCCCTGCTCTGATACAGGGAACTTACTTAGTAAGAATGCCCATGACTGAGTATCATCTTTTTATTTTAAAATGAGGCAGTTTCTGGTTCTAATATCTGGAATGTGACCGACTGTTCTCTTTCTCTTTGAGCGATACACATTTCTAGAGAAATAAGATTGCATTTCTCTTCCTTTTCAAACTTTGTATTGATTCCCCCACTRTTTGCTCCTTTGATCCACTGTTCATTTGTTCCCTTTTCTCTTCTTCAGATTATGTCCGCAAACAAATCCACTCACAATTTACAAATCTGCCTCTATTTCATTAAAAACCWCACCTCTCTCCTTACACCTTATCTGAATGGTTCATTTCCTCAGTTGGAACAGTGTTGGACTAAACCAGACCATTAATTCTTTCCACTGGGCCCTCTACCACCTCTGTCCTTGGTGTTCAGGGTACCCTGTCCATACCTCTGACCTAATCTTCATCCAGACAGGTTTTCATACCAGACCATGTTTAAATTTGGCACACTTTCTGCATAGTATCTCTGAAGAACAGATTTTACCCAACCAATTGGCCATACTTTACAGTTCAATTTCTGCATGTAATGACAATCTTTTCTTGTTTCCCTTCAACAGGATCAAAACTAAAAGGGTCATTTCCCCAGTCATTTTCACTGCCTTTCCATCCATTCACTAATTCTGCCATTTTTAACCTTAATGCTGCACAAATACCAAGTGTATTGCAGGACAGAAAAAGAGAAATTTTCATTATAGGTCCTGAAAGATATCAGATTAATATTTATTTCATGTAACATCTGACACTGTGAGGAAGAATCTAGTACTGCAAAAGATATGTATTGCTATCCAGAACTTTACCAAATATCCACAGTTATAGTTACCTGTGCAATTGAAAAACTGAGACCAACTGTCTTCCCACTCTTTAAGAGATCCTGTAGTCTTTTACTGTGGATAACATTGTCAAGATATGCCCAGAGTTTTTCTACAACGTCATCCTCCAGTTCAAGTTTCTTGTTGTAGTTTGAAACCAATGCATGGCTTACCCAATCGAGTAAAACCTGTTAACAGAAGGGAAAACAAGAAATCTTTAATAGCTCCCAACCAAAAACAGTATAGAAGTAGTACCTCTTCACAGTTACAGCATCTATGCCTTGAGAACTGCGGTACATCCAAGCAGAATAGCTTCTGAATGAGCAGATAAGTCAGCCCCTGAAGGTTTCAGTTCTTAAGAGCTTTCACTCTACACGTAATGTTTGCCCTAAGCTCACATGTACCATCCTAAAACAGCTTTCATGAGTGAACATCTTAAGTCTGACAACATTCTAATTCTGACAATTTATAYTGGTTAGCAAATGCAGTCTTTTAAATTAGTACTCAGATAATCAGCTAGTTTTCACTTTCTGGCAGCTGCTATTCCACTCACATTTTCCTCTTCATATACTTAAATTCATTACCTAGAAATTCAGCCCTAAGAATTTAGATGGGTGCAAAATGAAAAAGGTTAAAACCTATTAATTTAAGTTACTATTKTAGAAACGAAATCATAGTGTACAGCTATATTTAGTATTCTAAGTCACTGAAATAACAAGAACCCAAAACACATWTCTCAGATGTACAAGCCCTAGACCCCAGAGTACTACCAGGGATGGAGGATTAGGACAAGACACCCTTAACCCAGGGAAACACTGCACAGACCTTCAGAAAACAGGGTCAAAACAAAAGGAGACAGGGTGGGTTTCACGCAGAGAAAACCAAATCAGCTACTAAGCAGAAGTCCACAAACCCACATGCACAAGTTCCTTGCAATCCACATACATAACAAATTCTGAGCACCAGAGAATATACATCTAGATACTTTGAGACCACCCACAGTGAAGTTCCTGTTTTTAATTATGACCAAAAGGATCTGACTTAGAGCATCCTGTAGTGGACATAGTACCGACAGCAATAACAGCTCTGAAGACAACGATTTCTCATCTCTGAGACAGAACATAGGCACCACCCTCTCTACAAGAAAGCTTCTTCCATCCTGCACTAATGCAAGTCTTTATGTTGAAGCTACCTGCAATATGTTGTTATAAAAACACTTCATGTAACGAAATGAAGAGTTGATCACAATCCTAAATCAGCTCTATATTTACAGTGCTATCAGCTACCTAGAAGCTAGATCTGGATTTTAACAATTGATTCATCCGCAGCAGCAATCCACCATTGGTATTTTCTTCTTTCATCATTATTCACCACTAAAATGTACTCACTTGCTCCTTATTAGGCAGGACGCACTGGTGAGAAATCCACGCGAACCGGGCTAGTTTGAGTCTGTCCTCCCAAGAAGTCTTGGCGCTTTTCAGCTTCAGGTAAATCCCGGAGTAGATCACTGCCATGAGGGCAGCACGTGGGAAATGCGAAGAGGCAGACAAGCGTCTGGAAGAAACGCCAGGCAAAGAGAAGGCGGTCGGACGGGCAGCGGCCCCGCACCCCGACACTCACCCACGTGGCACCGCTCGGGCCCCAGGCGCTCCCTCCACCCCGCCAGCCGCCCACGGCCCCGCTTCTCCGTGCCCACCTCTCTCCCACCAGCCCCCAGTCCCACTCGCCTTCCTGTCCGTTCGCAGGGACGTCACTGCCCGGCCCCACCGTGCCGTCCCGGCCGACCCCTGTCCCCGCAAAGCAGCGCCAGCCGAGCGCCGAGCGCCGAGCACGGGAGGCGGTACGCTGGGGGGAGCCCGCGCCCATTGGCGGCCAGAGGGCGCTTGCGCGGCCCCGGCCCC